ATGGCAAAATGTAATCGATCATTTAACCTTCAAAATGCTCACTTCAAACTTTCGTGGGGGACGAGAAGGAGAGGGGTTGAAAATCTTAAATGGCTTGTAAGGTCGATTGAGGGCTCGTTTGAAAGGGCTTTTTGAGACGAAAAACGCGAGGTTGTTGAGGTTTCTACACTCTCACGTTCTTCTCGTTTTGAACAGCCCTTTCAAACGAGCCCTCAATCGACCTTACAAGCCATTTAAGATTTTCAACCCTTCTCCGCCCCGCCTCCTCCCCCACAGAGGTTTGAAGTGAGCGTTTTCAAGGTTAAATGATCGATTACATTTTGCCATTGTAACCCTATAAATTTCAATCCAATATCTCGAACAGTTCAGAAATTATTTAGGTAGCTCCGAACTTTTGACAGTCTCTGTATATATAATCGAATATAAAAATGTTGTAAAAGTTCATAAAAAATTACATTATAAACTATAATATTTATTTTTAGTAATAAGTAATAGATAATATAAATAATAAATGCTATTTATGCAAGATAAATATGATATTATCTTTTAATTATTTATTACTAAAAGTAAATATTATATAATGTAATTTTTTATGAGTTTCCAAAATACTTTTATATTCAATTCGCATAATTTATAAATTACAAAATAAATATTTTTATTGATTTAAAATTATAACAGCATTTTTCTTAAAAGAATACAAAAAAAATAATGTATTGTTATTTCTTTCTTTTCTATTTTTACTATTTAAGATTAAACTTATATATATTTTAACTCATGTAACGTTGTAAAATGTGCAATTGTTTTAAGCAATTATACCAATTATACACATGATCGCGAAGGATTGGATGATGTTAAAAAGTGATCAAGAAAGAAATATGATGATCCGAAGAGCGCAGACTGCACGTATGATTATTATTTGCTCCTATTCTATAATGGGATTTACATGCTTTTTTATCACAGTACTGCCTGCTTTTGGAATATCAATGAGGTTGACTCCCAACATTACTGATCCAGGAAAACCAATGCCTTTTCAAACCCATTATATTTATGATATAACAAAGAGCCCGCAATACGAGCTGACATTTATTAGTCAAGCCATCTGCATACCAGTTGCCATGATGGCCTACACTGGAATAGATAATTTTCTTAGTCTCTTAGTTTTTCATATATGCGGTCAATTGGACATTCTCGAGAATCGGTTGGCACATTTGGATAAACATATAAATTATCATAAAGTGCTGAAATGTTGCATAGTAAAACATATCCGTTTACTTAGGTTTGTTACTTATAAAAGAATATATACAAAGTAAAATTCATATAAATATATGTCGTAAAATATGCTCTAGTACATTAAATATCTTTTATAGAGCTATTGATGTTATTGAAGATACATATAATGTAATACTTCTCTCCTTATTTATATATTTTACGCTACTCTTCGCATTCTACGGATTTCGGATGATTAGTGTAAGTATCTAAAAGTTTGGATAAGAATTTCTAATAAAAAATCATTATATTTACATGATATATTATAAAATTTTAAATTAATAATATTAAAATAAATTATATTTGTTCAATTATTCCAAAAATTAATTAGCTATTCGATGAAGGAAATGATATGTCACTCACTCACTTAATATATTTTGTGTCCACCGTTTTCAATATATTTATAAATATGAGTTTATATTGTCTTCTCGGTGAAATTTTGATGACTCAGGTTAGTTTTATATATATACATATATATAATTAAAAATCTAATTAAATTTTCTATTATTTAAAATTATTTTATTATTTTTTGCATAAATTGAATGTTGCATAATTAATTCTATAGGCTCCCATGATAATGACTAATTTTTATTTAAATGTGCAAACAATGTGTACAATAATTATATTAATCTAAAAATATTTTAATATTTTCAAGTGCAATAAAATATATTATGCGGCATATAGCAACAAATGGTACATCCTAAATTCGAAAATTGTAGAAGATTTGTTCTTTTTAATGACAAGAGGTTCTAAACCAATCTATCTCACTGTTGGGAAAGTGTCTCCTGTTACAATGGCCACATTTTGCAGCGTAAGCTATTTTAATGTTTAATCTTGACTATCACATTAAAATATTGGTGTCACTGAAATTTCGTTACAAATTATTTTACAATCCCTAAATTATATTTTTTTATATATAAAAATTTTTAGTATATTAAGCTTAAATATTAAAATTCTTTATTTTAATCTATTTATGAACCTTTAACTTTAATAATTATGTATTTATCGAGTCTGTTAACTTTATGATCATCGAGAAAATATGTTTTTCAGTTTGTTAAAACATCCGTTGGTTATATATCCGTTTTGCACACAACGAAAAGTTGAAAAAAAATGAGAAGATGTTTTTTTTATTAATATTATACATTTTTTGTTAGAGTAGCTTAAGAACTGTGCCAGTATTAATATTATATTTGCAAATAAATAAATGTTTTGCATTATTTTAGTAGGATGTATTGTGTTCTATTAAATAGTGATAGAGAAAGAGTATTTTGAAATTTAATTAATTTTTGAGGGAACCGTAATCTACAGATGTCTGTCCTTTCATGAACTGTAAGATCTAGTTAAAGTATTGATTTTATTTTTTAACATTTATTTTATAATAATATTATTGTTAATAATTATTTTGAACAATATAATAAAGAATAATTAGTTTTAAATAACAACTTAAAATGTTTCAGAAGCAATTTACTTAATAAAAAATATGTCAAACTAGGATTGTTTAGTTTTTATGACAACTTATATTCTGCTCAGTTTTATTTCAGCTATATGAAATTCATTGAGATATCGAAATCACCTCTATTTAATTAAATAGAATTATTTGTTTTTTTATATAAATTGAATTTTTTTATTTGTTTTGCTTGTAAAAAGTATAAAGAACTAGTATGAGAACTAGTATAAGAAGTCGTACAACCTCTATACAATATTTTAATCATATTTTGAAGTCAAATTGGAAGAATCCCAATTTATACGTATTTTATTTTTAATGATATAATAATTTTTGAGTTATAAATAATTAACATTTGTCCACGACAGAATAATTTTATTTTTGAGTTAATTCTATACTTGTAAATACATTAATGCTACATATTGATGTATACTCTTTTGTAAACCTAGCAAAGTATTTTTATATCAATCGGTTCTCAATCTTGTCTTAAATAATATAATATGTTATTTATATTAAACAATTACTTTTTCTTTGCAAATAATTCCTATTAAGACTTGTCATGCAGTGAATGATAGACATGGCTATTTAGAAATTACTTGTTACGCAAAAATATTAGAACAACTTGTATTTGTTAAGAGAAATAAACAAAATAAAACTATATGGTGTAAAAAATATTTATCTTATTATTGATATGGTAAACTATGTAATTTTTTTATAAGTGATTATCTTACTATATTTCAAAGCTTATTTAATCATTCAATCCATTAACAATGACAGAAGATTGTATAGAATTGTAAACAACACAAAGGAGGAAGATATGGTGTGATGGACACAGATGGCTTCCGCAATTATCAACGGATGTTGTAATGGTATTGTATATAGCCTATTAACAACAGTTGTAAGCTATAATCGATTATAGAAGCGCGAAGCGTGGGAAAGAAACGGATGTATATATACTCCCTTTTTTCGCTGACATAGCATCAACCTGTAATTTTTTGTTCGCAATTGTTCCGTGCAATATTCGATGCTGAAATGACGGAAACTTGAAACGAGTGTGCAGAATATTTAATACTACTCTGTTACAGGTAGATCGTTTGTCTCTCTCAAAATTATTATTAGGGGCATGCGCGGCAAATGCTTTTTACTAAATACGAGATAACATCGATTTATGAGAGAGCAACAGACGTCAGTCTCTGGACAACATTCGACATGAAAAGTTCAAAATATAATGGATACCGAGGTGCTTTGATATTTGTAACTCTAAATGAAAAGAATCTTAAGAAAACATTTCACGTGCAGACAGTAGTATTTACAAAAATAAAACTTATTTCTTAATTTCTCACTATTATCGAAAATTTTGGATTATCGCCTTCTGCAGTGTATTGTGTTTCCTTAATTTTTGAATAACATATTAAGTTGTAAAAATTACTGATTTAACTATAGTTAGACGTAGTAACTACTTAAAGTCAGAAATTTTTATTTAATTTATTTTTTAAAGAATTTTTAAACTTTATAATTAATAAAATGTGATTTTCTACACAGAATTCTTACTAAATTATTACTTCTAAAAATTCCATTAAATATTTATAGAATCTAACGTATTTGTTATATTTTATATTTTTGCACTAATTGTGATTTTATTTATTTACGTTAATGTGTTATGTAATGTGACTTCACACGGACTCTTATGAAAATTTCTATAGGTAGATTTTGAATGGGCAGTGAAACTAAATCGTATTATTTTAAATTTTCTTGGACTTTGGCCTAAGACCGCACAAAGCTCTCGAGAAAAATTGATGTGCAATTTTCGAGTACTTGTCATCTTCTTGGGATTAATACTTTGCATTTTAATTCCTTCTGTACATTCATTAATAAGAATTTATGGAGATGTTATGCTAATGATAGATAATTTAAATTTTACTTTGCCGACTATAAGCTGTGCTATAAGAATCGCAATTTTTTGGTGGAAAAAAGAAGGTAAACATACTTGAAAGCTATATGTATGTATTTTTAAGCATGTATAATGTGATAAAAAATATATTTATTTAAATAAAACAAATAATCTTATTTACATTAAATTATATAAAAAATTTGTTGTTACTGTAAATGCAGTGTGTATGTACACAGTATTGACAATCTCAAATTACAAAATTTACTTTTACTATTTATTTACTATTTATTTACTACATTTGCTGTTAAAATTAAAAAATATTAATTCTATTTCTCTTATTTTTATTGTTTTGAATAAAATTTAATAATTATATAAATTTAACAATACTTTTAAGATAAATAAGTAAACAGAATCTAATTTGGTCTCAAAGCAGATCTTAATGCTGAATAATATTTCTCCGTGAATTAATATATATACATTTTCCAGCTCACGTAAACTGCGCGCCGATTATTTGTCGGTTTTGAAACAATCCGAAGCTGTAATCACGAAATATTGTACAATAAACTGATAATATTTGATATTACTATTTCAATTTCAGCTTTACTGTGTTTAAAGACCGACAAATAATCGGCGCGCATATATAAATTGGGAAATGTATAAATTCACGCCAAAGTATTATTGAGTACTAAGATTTGCATTAAGATCTGAATTTAGCATTTCTTACTTATTCATATATCGATATATTTATACTTATTAGTAAAATTATTAAGTTTGAAATATTCAATAATCGACATTTTTCAAGCTATGACACCAATTTTAAACATGATCGCGGAGGATTGGGTAAAATCAAAAAGTGTGCAAGAAAGAAACATAATGATTAGAAGGGCGCGAACTGCACGCCTGATTGTTTCTTGCGCGTACTTCATAATAGGAGTAGCGTGCTTCTTCATCGTCGTTCCCGCGATTTTTGGAGTGTCAATGAGATTCGCTTCTAACATTACTGATCTAGGCAGACCGATGCTTCTACAAACCTATTATACTTATGATGTATCTAAATCACCGCAATACGAACTTACGTTTATTAGTCAAGCAATTTATATTACTATCGGTATCATGTCTTACACTGGAATCGACAATTTTCTAGGGCTATTGATTTTTCATATATGTGGTCAATTGGATATTCTGAAAAATCGTTTAACACGTTTTAATAAATGCATCAATTCTAAAATGTTAAAAAACTGCGTGACAGAACACGTTCGTTTACTTAGGTTTGATATTTATATCCATTTATATGAATAATCTATATAAAATATATAATTAATCAAATGTATATTTAATGCTTATCTGTAATACAAAATATATTTTATAGAGCTATTGCGATTATTGAAGATACATATAATATAACACTTCTCGCCTTATTTATATATTTTGCGATACTCTTTGCTTTTTATGGTTTCTGGATAATTCAAGTAAGTTTTCAAAAATTTGAAGAAAAAATTATTTTATATTAATATATTATAAATAAGAAAATAAATAATTAATATATTACAAGTTTAAAAAGTTATACTATGCACATAATTTTATCATGAGCTAAATTGTGTATTAAGAAAAATTACATTTTTTAATATATATTATACATTAATTAGCTACTTAATGATGGAAACGATATATCGATCATTTATTTGATATGTTTCATATGCATTGTTCTTAATTTGTTTGGACATATGTGCCTATATTGTGCCCTTGGTGAATTTTTGATGGCTCAAGTAAGTTGCATCTATCTTACATGTAATTACGTAAGTTTGTATATTTTTATTTGATTCATTTAGAAGAGATTTTATTAATAATATTATTATATATTAAATAAATAAGTTATTTTTATGTTAAATTAAATTCATATAATACAATAAATAGATAATAATTATTAGCTAATTATTATTTTATTGTAAAATGTATACAATAATTTCTACATAAAAATAATTTTAACAATTTCAAGTCTAATGAAATGTACTATGCGGCATACAATAATGAATGGTATTCCGTGAATCCAAAAGTTGCACAAGATTTGTTGCTTTTTATGACAAGAGGCTGTAAACCGATTTATCTCACCGCTGGAAAAATGTTTCCCTTAACAATGTCTACATTTTGCAGTGTAAGATACTTTAATATTTAATTGTAACAAAAGTATTTGAATATTATTAAAATATTAAATTAAATATCATAAATATTTAATATAAGTTAAATATAAAATTATTAATCTTAAAAATATAAAAATTATTTAGCAATATGTGAAATATGTATTTAAAATGTTAAAATTTAAAATTATTTTCTCTAAATTCAAAGTTTGCAATGATTAATTTATTAGGATTATATGCATATATTATTAATCATATTACTATTAAAGAAATTTATTTTGCAGTTAGTGAAAACGTCAGGTGGTTATATATCCATTTTGCTTACAACAAGGATGTAATACAAATAAAATATATATATATATATAAATTTCTTTATTATATAATATAGTTAAGAATTGTGCAAGTATTAATTTATTATGTGCAAATAAAATGTAGATATCTTACTGCACGGTTGGTTCGAAAATTACGAGTTTTATTAAATAGAAGAAAAAATTTGTGATACTAAATATATATAAATTCATAATACATAAAAACTCATATATCTACATATAATAAAAAACTTTATTTTTGCCTTAGGCTTATAGACTTAGAATAATATGCAATTCAAATTTTGTTTTTAGTTACAATAATTCTTATATATAATATTTTTATTCAATCAGATACAATAATTGTACAAATTATTTTCATAAAATTAAAAATGTGTATTAAAATCATTAAAAAATGAGTTAAAAAGCTGGATGGTGATATTCACGATATCTAAGTTAAGTTTATTATATGTTGTAAGAACAGCGTTATATAGATATTACGTTTATGTAATTAATTCTCTTTCAATTTGTATGCCTAGATCTCCCCTAAGTAGTAATCATACACAACGTAACATCGATTTTCATGCGTGCGTAAGAATATGGTACATACATGTATCGCACCCACGCTTGTTAACCTGTTGTTACCCAAGTTCTGTCAGTGGTTACGCGGCATGAATAAGGGGAAAACAGAAAAATGTTTTTAACCCTTTTACGCTGACTATAGTCATCTTCCATAAAACGTTATGTAAGTACTATCGTCGACTGTAGTCATTTGCGGCACATTGTTATACTTTCAAAAAATGTGCAATATTTTTGTCAAATTTTCCAAAACAAAATACGATATATACAGGCAAATAGCCGGAGATTGGCTTTACAAGAGTAGTGTTAGATTTGTGTGTCTCTCACTCTAGTAGATATATATTATTCGAAAGAGTCATCTATCAATATGTTTCTATAATTATCTCCTATTATTTTTCATAGTTCAGCAAAGAGTAAAGAAAAACACATGCTAAATATGACAGTATTTATTTTTCTAATTCTAAAATTTTAAGGACAAAAACATAAATATAAAAACATGTATAAATGATTGCAAACGTTTTGATTTGTAATGAGATTATTTTCAATGCGATAACATAAAATAATTAAATTATTAAATTATCTCTAAATTAAGACTTGTCTCCAACTCTGGTCCGCAGATAAAAATCGCAATCGTCTTGTGGTTGTCGATATGTAAAAAATGATCATCCATACATACGTGAAGTGAATCTCGAGATGTAAAATTCAAATTAAACACCCAGCATAAAATTGAACATCTAGATTTTTGTTTTTCATGAGTCAGATGTACTCTGACAAAAGACAAATGTATGTAAACGAGGAAATCTTTAATTAAAAGATTTATTTATATTTTTCTTTTTATTATATACACAATATAAATTTATATAGAATAGGTAAAACTGAAAAGATGCATCTACTCTTATTAAAATAATTGGCTATAAGCAATCTATACCCGATATTACTTACAGCTTCCTAAATCGATTAGTACTCCATATGAGAATATAACACATGTGTATTCGCTTACAATGCGTACCATACAGTTATTCACCTGACAGTATGAATTTTTTGTTGTTTGTAACTACCTCGTACAGAGAAGTAAAAGGAAAAAATTCTTGGAATATGCATTCAACTGATGTTTCTCACATTTTCGAGAATTTCTACTACGAGCATGCGTAAACGCATGTCTGGTTGAATAGAAGGTTACTTCGCTACGTGTGAAAAGACTAGAGACCAGTCCTCAGTTGACATTCGACATGGATGGTTCGGAATGTTCAGAATATCAAGGTGCTTGACATTTTGATTATTGCGATGAAAACAAAAAAAGTTTTGTGAGAAATATTTTATTTTATTTATATACGTTAAAAAGAGATTAAATTTATCTTTAAATTTTCGTCACAAGCTAACTATTGTTAAATATATCAGTGATATGTTTTTATGTAAAAATGTTATTATTTTAGCGTTTTGTTACAACATATCAGTGATTTTCTGTGTTTTTCGTTTATTTAAAAAATGTTTATTATATACTTATAAATTTCTTATATTTACTAATATTTCTCAGTATTTAATTCTTATTTAAATCTGCATTGTGTGTGATGTACATGTGTGCGCGCGTCGCCGCGTCGGCGTGAGTGCGTGCCAGAAAATTACTCATTGTATTACAATTAAGATATTATTTCAAATGACACTGGTCGACATGCTAAGTTTTCTGAAAAAAGAGCGTGGTTCTCCGTAGATTTTTGAGCATTGAAAACGATGCTGTTCTCAGAATTTTCCTATTCCGCCACATTTTCAAAAAAAATGAGGTTGAATTCTTTAAAAAACACATTTTTGGCCATCTTTGAGAAATCGTAACGAATGTGACGTGCTAGAAACTTTTCAAAAATAAAAGCTTAAATATTGTATTCGTATACCTATACCTACCTCCAATATTTATAGGAAATTATTTATCTGCGCCGTGCAACAATGAGTGTTTGTAATGCTATGCGCGCGTATACTCTCCCGTCATTGCACGTTAGGGCGGAAGTCGAGGAACTTAACTGCAGAAAAGATTGTATTTTATCCAGTAAATCTGTCGTTAATGACTGTGCAAATTATTTCTAAGAGAGCAAGTTATAATAGAGTAATAAAACTAATATTGTTATAAATAATATAATAAATTGCAATTTTTTGACAGTAAACCGTTTAGCCGCAATATTTACAATGTTACATACAACGTTTACGCAAGTGTTAAAAAGTCAGAAGATGCAGAGAAGATACTAAACTTCCGCTCTAGCGTACAGTGACGGATAGAAGCGCGCGCACACATACAAATAAACCGTTGCTGCACGATAAATAGTTTTGTAATATTGGAGAGACTTGAGCTCGAGTACAATGTTTGTTTATGTTTTCATTTAAGATCTTTTAGAAGTTTCTAACACTTTAAGTTTGTCCGTCACAATTTTTCAAAAATTGCTAAAAACGTACGGTTTTTAAAGGTTTCAACCAGTTTTTCTAAAAAATATGCTGTGGTAGGCAAATTCTGAGGGCAACATCGTTTTTAATGCTCCAAAATCTATGGAAAATCATTCTCTTTTTTTTTTTTCAGGAAACATTCAGAATGTAATCCAATGTAATCACACATGTTATCAAATTATTAAATAAATATATAAAAATTAAAATTACTACTATTCTATTTTCTGTATTTAATTATTATGCATTTACTTAACGATATTTTTAACCAAATTTTAAGATTAACTTTTTGGTAAGAATTTTGACTTACTGAAATTTTTACAGGCAGACCTTGAATGGGCAGTAAAGCTGAATCGTGTTAGTTTAAAACTGATGGGGTTGTGGCCTAACGTCCAACAAAATTCTCAAGGCAAATTAATGTGCAATTTACGTGTATTAATTATTTTTCTTCTGATTGTAATCGGCTTTCTCACTCCTGCTATACATTCATTTATAATGATTCATTCAAATCTCCTGTTAATGGTTGATAATTTACAATTTGTTTTGCCGGGTGTGAATTGTGCAATAAAAATTATGATTTTTTGGTGGAAAAAAGAAGGTAAATGTAAATATACAATACATTTTAAGCTTTTTATTAATCGAAATTATTTTGACATTTAATAATTTTTATTTTTATAAATTTGTTTTCCTTATTAATGTTTTAACTTTAACACTTTTTAAAGCTGTTGCAACAGTAATAAAAATGATAGCAGAGGATTGGCAAAGATCGAAAAGCGCGAAAGAAAGAAATATAATGATGAGGAGAGCTAAAAGTGCGCGAATAATTACTACATTCGGATATTCTCTTATGGGATTAGCATATATCTTTATTGTCGCTCTGCCTGCTTTTGGAATTTCCATACGACACTTATCAAATATTACTGATCCAGGCAGACCAATGTTAATACAAACTTATTACATTTACGACGTAACGAAAACTCCACAATACGAGATGACGTATATTGTACAATCTATTTCCCTCTTCTGTGCCATGGCGTGTTATGTGGGAATCGATAATTTTCTTGGGTTAATAGTGTTTCATATCTGTGGCCAGTTGGACATTCTTAGACATCGTTTTATTTGTTTGAATAAATTTATGAACTTTCACGTAGATCTAAAGAGCTGCGTAATAAATCACAGTCGATTGTTAAGGTATTGCTTATACTAACTCTTTGCTTTTCTTTCTTTAGAAATAAATTTATCATAATATTAATATGTATAATAACTTTGCACACAGAAAAGAAATTTATTATCCTTGTATAAAAAAATTATTTATTTTTCAAGACGTGTTAAATCTCTAAAGCCATTACTTTTTTTTACAACTGTTTTAATTGTTCACAATTGTACATGTATTCAATTTGCAATAAAAAGTTAAAAACTGCACAAAGTATAGATATTATCACAATCTACTCTTTATAATTTAATCAAATACATATCAAAGTAATGTATAAAATATTATTTTATAGAGCCATTGCTGTTGTAGAAGACATATACAATATAATACTTCTTATAATATTTTTATGTTTTGGTGTCCTATTTGCTTTTTATGGATTTTTTATAATTAACGTAAGTACAGTTAAAGATAGTATAGCACAAACTTGATCATATATTTCATGCATTATTAACATTAATAAAGCGAAAAATATGCATTAAATAAGTACCTTTGTTGTAATATTGATCCAAGGAATTGGTTTTAAATCAATGAAATATTGAGACAAAGTTACTCCAAGTCCTGGTAACATTATTCCAAAATTAAAAAAGAATTTTTTGAGATTTTTACAAAATCAAAAAAACTTCAAATGTTAACTAAAATTGTTTCATTATGTATTAGAAACAAGGAAAAATTATTAATAATAAGAATAACTAACAATTTTTTTTAACTTTATCTAATAGGTAGAAAAGTAAATTTTGAATCAAAGTCACCCCATCTTACGATAAAAATTTATATTCTAAATAAATGTTTTTATACCTATTTGCAAAACAAAAAACAGGTCACTATAATATTATGGTGACCCGTTTTTGGAGGGATGAATATAAAAGAAATTTTTAAAAAGATATAACCACTAACAATATTATACATATATTTATATGATTTGGCACCAATATTAATATAATTTTGCAATATAAATTTTATATAATAATTCCGTCATTTTACGCATATTATAATTTAATTAGTTGCTCGCAGAAGGAAATATACTGATCACTCGCTTGATGTATCTTTTATGTAATATTATTAATATACTTGCTCACATGTGCCTCTATTGCGCTATCGGTGAAATTTTGATGGCTCAAGTAAGTTTTAGTTATATAAGATAAAACTTTGTTAGTAGTAAAATAAATTTTTTAATGAGATATTTTTAAGTGCGATAGTTTGTTCTATGCGGTGTACAATCAAGAATGGTACACTTTGGAATCGAATGAAGTCAAAGATTTGATTCCCATAATAATTAAAAGCAGAAAACCAGTTTACCTTACCGCAGGAAAAATATTCCCCATGACAATGGCTACATTTTGCAGTGTAAGACATTTTTAACTGCAATCAAATCTTTAATGCAGACAATATTATGACATAATATCGTATTAAGTTACATTCTAATATGTATTATACTTTACATATGTATATATTAGGGTGTAAGTTCCTGCGTATTTTTGACAATTTTTATTTTTTTTTAAATAAAATAACTGATACAGTACCTGTTAATCGAAATATTTGTCATCGTTTTCTACCACCTTTGCCCATCTTTCAAGCAGCATACAATGCCACATTGAAAGAATTCGTCACGTTTTGACGCAATCCAATTATGCAATCATTTTTGCACATTATTGGCATTGGAGAAGTGCGCATCAGACAACGCATGTTACATCGATTTGAATAGATGGTAATCAGGAGCAATGTCTGGTGAATAAGCTGGATGCGGGAGGACTTCCCATTCAAGTCCAACAGCGCTTTCTTGGATGTCCACGATCATAAGATCTTCTTATATATCTGGTGGGATCAGAAGGGAGTCGTCTACTATGAGCTGCTACCATCGGGTCAGACAGTCACAGGAGATCGCTACAGTAAGCAACTAAGACAACTGATCCAGGAACTAATCAAAAAACGTCCTCAAATAGCCGCAAATCGACGCAAAATCGTACAACTTTATGACAACGCCAGATTCCATATTGCTAAGAAGTCCAAGAAAGCGCTGTTGGACTTAGAATGGAAAATCCTCCCGCACCCAACTTACTCACCAGACATTGCCCTTTCTGATTACCACCTTTCAGATCGATGCAACATGCATTGTCTGATGCGTACTTCTCCAATGCCAACAATGTGCGAAAATGGATGGATAATTGGATTGCGTCAAAAGATGATGAATTTTTTCAACGTGGCATTCGTATGCTGCCTGAAAGGTGGGCAAAGATAGTAGAAAACGATGGCAAATACTTCGATTAACAGGTGCTGTTTCATTTATTTTATTTAAAAAAATAACAATTGTCAAAAATACTCAGGAACTTTTCCTATACCCTAATATTATATCCTATTTTTTCTTGTTTTCAATTTACAAAATTTTTTTAATATTATACATATATACATATATATATATAAATTTATAATTTTCATTAACAAATTATAAGATGATATGAGAAAAAGAATAAGAAGTTATAAATAATATTCACAATAAATTAAATAAGAAATGCTTAATGAGAACAATTAAAAAAATTAACCCTGTCAAGATTAGAAGAATTTTTGATGTTTATGTTTGATTTGACATTTATTACGCAATGTGTGAAACAGAAGATTGTCTTACTTATCATTTTTTACTTTCTTACTCAACATTTTTATTCAAATAAAATAAATAGTAGTTTACTGATTACTTTATCTACTCTGTACCTTGTTTTCATTATAATATATTGTCTTTATAATATATTGATCTGTATATATTTATAAAATTATTTTCACAGAGTTTTATAAAACTGCTAATAAAATAAATTATTTTTGTATTTAAGTATTTTGATTGTCTTCATAACGTAAAAATATTTTGTTTTCTATTCTTTTCAGCTAATAAAATCGTCGGCTGGTTATATATCTGTCTTACTTAGGATGTCAGTTTAAAATGTTGAAATAAATGCAAAATAATATTTTTTTATATTATGCTGTGTACAAGCATTCAAAAATATGTAAGTATTTAATACTTACTAATATAATTAATAATTATTTATATCATTTTGAATAACTTAATAACTCTTTAATAGAATATCTTCAATTTCCGTGAAAGATATTTACTTGTATTTCTTCGAAGATATAGTTAAAAGTGTAACGATGCACCCCGATATGCATCGTTCCCGGTCAAACACCCGTCGGATGCCGCCTGACCGATCATCTGTTGGGCGATGAAGGGCGCAGTGCGCCCACCCTCTTTTAAGCTTATCATCGCGAGATATCCCTGGTTGAGCGATTCTCAACCGTTGTCGACTCGAGAATCCGCGCCTGTGTCCGGGATGGCTTTCTCCTCGAGATAGAGCGTTTCTCTCTATCTCAGGCTATTGCCGGTGCGTCCGTTGTCTTCACCGCGACGGGCCTTTTAAATTGTTTACGAGTCAGGCCTTTTAAATCGGGGATTTTAAATCGCCGGGGATTGAGTGCGCGCGAGCACGTGCCCGCGTCACGCCGCGCTCGCGTGAACGTATCCCTCGCCCGGAACCCGTCTGGCCGTCCACGGTCGGCGTCGGCAACTACGCCTGTCAAAAATTACGAGCGTACGCAAACTTCGTTCGGGAGCGTTGCACGAGATATTCGACTACTTATCGCAGCGCATTTGACCGAATCATCTTTGCTTCGTTCGATATTATCATTGTAGTTGAAAACCGGCGTGGCCGCAATTAATTAGCGTTATTTTATTTATTTTTATTTATTTGATATTATATATTAATTGTCGCGCGTTTCGCATTTTTTTATTATTATTATTATTATCTTGCAAATTAATAAATGTTTATTTTTTTTTTAACCCACATTTCACGAGTAATTTCTCTAACACTACCGGCTTCGCTTTCTCTCTCCCGAACCTGCCCGCGATCCCTGCATCCGTGTTCCGGCGAGCTATCCGTGCATCAAAGGCAGGTCGTCTCAAAAGTAGCATTAAAAGTAACAAAAAATATGTATATGTAATAATTTTTAAAACAATTACTGTTTAATTGCTGTAATTATTGTTTAATTATTGCAGATTATCATGATTTCATAAGCATATATTATTGAACAATTAAATTATTAATTTTTTTCTAATATTTATTTCTTTGAAATAAATATATAGCGTTTATTCTGTTATTATATATTAGTAAAAATTATAGATTTTTTCTGCAATACTGCAATTAGACAGACCGACTAAACATTATAATGAAAGCAATAGTATACACAAGTTAATATTCATTATAGCACAAAAAATGGAAAAAAAATATAATTCAGATTACACATAATGTTTACAATCAATTACAAATGCGTGAGAACTTAACAGAAGGATAAAAACAGGTTGTGAGCAGATATTTGACCCCCTCGTTATGCCAGTTGTAAGACCCCTTATTATGCCAATTCTCATTCGCTCGTTACGTGCGAATATTGCATGCATGAGGGATTGACAAAACTCCTACAACAGGAAGGGTTTAAAATTTTTAAAACTCGTCCTTGTGCGGTAACCATCTCTTACTTTAAAAAATTTTTTATTATGCAAACCCACATGGATCATTTGTTAAATGAAAGCTAATGTCGTTCCATAATGAGGAAATAGATGTCAATGGAAAATATGTGGAAGAGTAACATGTAAGTATCTCTTTCAGCTATAA